TGACCACATGGCGCGAAACTGAGATAAATAAAAGGCCTCATTTCTGCAACCACCATCTCCCCCTCCCTTAGTTTCACCGCCTGTCATGAACAGTGCAAATTGGCTCAAGGGCTCCAGACCCTCAGAAACCCCAGGCCGCCATGATCCGTGGGTTTCTTTCCATTTGTCATCTTATGTTTCAATTTTACTGAAAATTCCATCCTTTAGAAGAATTCATGGAGAAATCCCCGGCTACCCTGTGGGCTCGAAATTCCCGAATCGAGATGCCCTGTCTGCCGTTGGAGTGCATGCTCCTCTCCGAGCTGGCATTCACGGTGCTGCCGAATACGGCGCCTATTCCGTGGTCATGTGAGGTCTGAACTGCTCAAGGCATATATTCTCTGACATGCTTTTAATCAGGTCTCACGGCTATGAGGATGATGAAGACCAGGGGGAAATTTTGTGAGTCTTACTGATCCTTTTTTGCACCATGTGAACTGAGTTATGCCAAGCATTTATACTGGGGAAGGTATATCTTACTAAGCTAAATGGAGGTATTCTTTCTCACGATTTGACAGGTGGCCGTGTGGCCAAGGTTTCCAGAGTGGATAAACTCAGGGGGAAAGAGGTAAATTGTCTGTTGTTTCCTTTTGTTGAATCTGTTCATGTCTCTTTGCATTTTAGTCTTGGGATACTGAGCAGAGCAAAGATCAGGAGTTCACAAGGGGGAACTTATCATTGAAGGTATTCCTTATCTGTGTATCTCTGGAACTTCTGATTAGATTGCCTCAATTTTTTGTTCTAGGTATCATGTGCAAATGGTAAACCTGTGCGTGTTGTCCGAGGGGCTCCTCAAAAGGGCAAAATGGGTTCCAAATATTCACCAGCTGAAGGGTATGTGATTACTCAACCAATGGTCATTGGTTAGGCATTCAATAGACTGTTTCCTGATTTAGGTATCGATATGATGGCCTTTACCAAGTGATGAAGGTTAGAATACTGCATATACACATGATCTTGATCAATTTCAACCCCTTCATCAGGTTTCAAGAAAGATGGGGAAAATGGGCTACATGACTTGTAGATTTGAATTTCATGTGGGTTTTCTTTCGTATTTGATGATAGACACTAATTCGAGGTCTTTGTAGAGGTTACCAAATCAGTTGCCCCTTCCAGGAGCAGTGGAAAATAGCTATAGCTCATCCTTTGCTTCTTCATCAAGGCTCTCTCCTAAGGCAAGTAGTGATATTTCTCTTTCTCATTGAAATCCTGATGATCTAGTTACAGAGTTCATCACATCAGCTTCCTGCAATTCGGATTCAGGAACAATCTCCCACAACTGGGAGCAGACAAACTGGCAGGACTACTCACTCCTCAAATGTGACTTCCACAAGATCCACAGCACACCCATCCAGAAGGGAAGCACGTACACCTCTTCCACCATACCGACCACCAGCATGGTACATGGAGAGTTTAAAGCCCAGGAGTGGGACATCTGAGACTGTATACAGCATGGCAGCTGAGTCTAGTCGTGCCAAGCGGCCTCGTGAAGAGAGTGTGGATATTTTGGAACATTGGCCAGCATCTGATGATGAAAACCCCGACAGACCATGGAGCACAGTGAAGGGGAAAGAGAAGCTACCTACAAAGCTGGGGTTCAAGAAGATGAAGAGGAACTGAGAGTGGCAAACAGGCCCAAAGAAGTTTTGATGGGCGAGATCTGCTATGCTTGCTTGCTTGCATTTGGCAACCTTTCGGGGCAGTAGTACAGCACCATGCTGTACTGTGCTTGCTGATCCCCTGATGATCTTTGAATTTTGATTGCTGTACGTATATATATATCTGGACTGGCTGGATTCTTCCTCCCTTACCCAATGAGTTCCTCCATCTTTCTTATGACATAGGTTTTTCGAGTATGATTTACCGACCAAACATGCTTACCTCTATCTATCTGATGGTATATGTTCTTTAGTCAGTCTGGTTCATTACAAGATAACCCTATCTTTTGCGATAACACACAGACAACAAAAATAGCCGCCAATGGATAGCATTACACGTTCGCAAGAACAACGAAGTAAAATCAAATGAAACGAGGTACAACAGCCAAATAAGCCGGCGCCCGAAAGAAAATTCACAATGTCTACTTCCTCGGTCGCTTCCTGACCTCATCCTCCTTGCACGCATGCAGCATAAGCTTGTTCGGGTGGCCCGGGGTCATGCCGGAGTGGCCCTTGGACCAGTCGTAGGAGACGGCGTAGGCGAAGATGTTGCCGTTGCGGTTGAAGGCCGTGCTAGTGATGGGGCCGGGGGCGGGGTCGAAGGCTAGTAGGATCACGTCAGTGTGCCTAAGGGTTACTGGGGAGTATGGGGTCACGTACTCTTTAGACGCGTACGGGCATCCTTGTCCCAGAAGTGGATGGTGCCGTCAGAGCCTGTGGAGTATGTCTCAGCCTACGAAACGAGTTGGCCGTTAGGGGAGACGAGGGTGAGGAGACGTACCGCAAGTGGAGAATGTTCCATGCACGGGGTGGAAGGAGATGTCGTTGACGGCGTACACCAAAGCTTGGTCTTTAGAGTTCGGCACGTTGTCGCGGCGGTGGCACTTGAATGAGAAATTGTTCCTGTGATTGCGAGTGCGGTTGAGTAGGGTGGAGACTAGGGAGATGGTGTGACTGACCCAGAGTCTTTATCTTCGACGTATCTAGAAACCCGTTAGTCAAAGAATTACGCGACTAAGCGAAATTCCACTCACTGAATAGCTACTCTGCCCTCTACGCTTCCGACCGCGAAGCCACTACTGGTAGATGCGGTGAAACACGACACGACACGTGTCTGCCATTTCAATGGGGAGACGATGGTCTAACACTATAATGTAAGGGCGAATCCATAGGAGCTAGAAACGAAGGCCGAACTTTGTATGCGGTGTTGGGGTTTGTCAGGTTGAATATCTGAATATGGCGCTCGGCCGTCCCCACGACCATCAAGGGGTACTGCACGTCGAAGGTGTAGCACCGCTCTGGAAGTGTCACCGTCGCGAGTGGTTGAGGAGCACGCAAGTCCCAATACTAGGCAAGAAATGTCAGAGTGTGAAGTAGGTTGACTTTAGTGAGATTCGAAGGAAGCGCGCACTTTGATCGTCTTGTCCCAGCTACCCGTTGCCAAAATCCCAGCCCCTGGCGCGTCGATCCACCTTACAACTTTAACTGGCGCGTCGTGCTGCGCGACTTGCGACGACTGGCCAGTGGCAACGTCGAACATGCGCCCAGCGTTGTCGGCGCCTCCAGAGAAGATTTTGTTCCCCTCCTGCAAGGGCACGTTTTCAACACGCAGACGCGCCAAAGAGTAGTAACGACGCACCTTGTTCCAACACACATCTAGCACGGGTCCCTGATGCTGATACATCGCCTTCCCCTGAGACTGTCCGCCTGCCATGACTTCGTAAATTCGGACCTGTAGAGAAGGGTTTGGTGAGCCGCGACGAGCAAAGGGATGGGTCAGGGACGTACACTATTATCCCAACTTCCTACAGCCAAGTAGTCCGCCTGAGGAGAAAATGATATTGAGGAGATAGAATCGGTAGGGGGATCCGCCATCTCGACATCCTTGTCTGCGGTTGCGGTCGTGCTTGTGGCCGCTGGGGTCGTGGTTTGTGCCCCGAAAAACGACATGTTGGCAGTAGAGCGTTTACCAGCGTCTTCGAGAAGATATGATAGCTGGTATTAAATGAGGTCGTAAGGCAATGCACGAATTGCGACGTGAGACGAACAAAAGGTGGGAGTGGCTGAGTCTAAAGTTTGAAATATCTGTTCACGTTCGGCACCGATTGATCGTGCTCATGTCCATCCTATCCGCGGACCGTGACAACTATGGCCCAATACAAGTCGTCTTTACAGAACTTTCATCTCGATCGGGGCCTTTGAGTGCTCCTTCTATGCAGCTTTACCGGAGTCAGGAGTCTGATCAGCAGCAGTAAAAGCGTAACTCTCGGCGACACACTACTCTTCGATTATTGCCTCTCACCATCGACCACAGTTCTACAGCTTCTCGTCGTGATGTCTCAATGGACAGGCTCCGATGTACGGTGGGCTTTCTGCTCATTTGCGTACTCTTTCAATAAGGCCCTCCTGCCTCACGCATTTTACCCCTCCGAGTCCCCCACCCCGACATATGGCACAGATATACTTGTGGTCAACACTCGAGCGTCCTGTCCTGTCTGGGCCACTGGCTTTATCGCCACTAGCTTAAACCTCGTTAACTAGCTCGTATCAGCGACTTCCCAGTCCAAGTTCACGCACTTCAAGTCACAGACTCGTCTTAACCTCACGGACGTGACTGTAATATTAATTCTTGACGCTTTGAAGACAGCACCCCTGCAGGTCTTGGTACTTGATGGATTATTGCACGTAGAACTCGTCTGCTTGACGTTATCGCTCGATTCTTTTCTGGACCTGCTCGGTCTTACGATAAACCGTCGAATAAGCAACGGTCAACAACAACGACGACCACATGGCCGCGCCCTGTGTGGGACTACGCGCAGATATTGCAAGGCTTACAGCATTACGTTACTTCGAATGAAATTGTCTCGATTGTCTACTATCTGCAATTCCTTCTGTGTCCATACGGTTCGAAGATGGATTCTTGTATCCTCAAGAGCTTTACGGGCGTGGAGGAAGGACAACTAGGGCGACTTTTCTTTCTTCTTGCCCATCCCGCAGCTCTTCGCTATCTATCGACTGAATCTATGACCCAAACGACCGGATGTCGATTCATTCGAAACAAAGGCAAATTTGTGATCGACGGAGATACGCAGACTTGACAAGCCGGCTTTCATGCAGTTTGACTGGGACAAGGGTATTAGTGGCGTTGAGCTTCGCCGAAGTAGCGGGATGTTTATTATTACAAGGATGCGACAAAACGACAGGCCCGGATGCAGGAAGTCCACTATCTATGCTTGGGAGAAAGCCTCAGCTTCCCTTCCTAAGTAGATCCCTCGTGATGGTACGTGAAGAACGGTTTTCAGTGGCGGGTTAGCGTAATGGTTAACGCGCCAGTTTCCGGTCCAGGTTAGCTGGAGATTCCGAGTTCGAGTCTCGGGCCTGTCGTTTTGTCGCCTCCTTGTAGATGATTTTTTGCCTTGTTTCTTATCGATGGACATTGGATCGATGACCTCAGGATATCGGTTGCGACGCGAACCGAAGAGACACACCGGCGGGTTAGCGTAATGGTTAACGCGCCAGTTTCCGGTGCGTCGCCAGCTGGAGATTCCGAGTTCGAGTCTCGGGCCTGTCGTTTTGGAACTTTCAGATAGCAACTAAGGGTGTATACAAAATTGATGCAAGACGGTACTAGTCTCAGCGTTTGCTAAGTATTGGCAATGGCCCTGGCTTGGGAGTCGGTACCGATAACCTTAATCTCACACCCCAACATCAAGTCGAGGTCCCTACGTTTCTAACATGTTTTTATTCCATGATGCCGCTGCAGATAAGATCTGCATATATATCGAGTACCCCCTTCCTAAAGGCTATACTGGCCTGATCTGGCCTGATACTCTGAGCCTCATTGAGATATTATTTCCAGAGGCAGCAATTTTGTTCCGGTCAGCCGTTGTCACTTGCATGTCCTTTCTCACCGTAGACCTCGCCAGCTTCTAGTGATAGTGATATTACCCCACGGGCGGTCCCGAAAATGTGTAACAGTGCGTCAGAGTGCGTCAGCCGGCCCGCGTGAGGAAGGATGGTAACTGGTTTGCTTACCTTCCGAAGGTGATCCACCGATTGCATCATCGAACTGACGCCGCACATGGTAAAGATTACTGGCAGTCTAGGGTCGAGTAGACTTCCCCATAGATACTTAGACCAAACAAACATGTCGAGGAAAGCTTTGGAATTAGTCCTGTCGATAGTAGATCTTATTTCTTTCAAGCTATATTGGACCTTCATCAATTTCCGAGCGGAGGAGGACACGATTTTATGTCTTGTAGGGCAGAGGTACCATGCTTGCTTTGGCTGAGTTCGATTCCCAGCAAGGCCCAATGGAGTGACGAAGTACGTGTGTTTTGTCCTTTTCGGGTAGTGTGGCGGCGGTTGAAAATGCCAAGACAACTACTTTTGTCTCCTTCCATCACGTCCCTTGTTATAACAAAGGCTTGAATCCTAGTATAAAGTGAAGATGCAGAACCGGCCGGAATTTCAATATCTCCCTCCGTGCCCTCGACGCTTCTGCACCTTCCACATCCTTGCACGATGAACCAGCAGCCGTATAGTACCTACTTCTACCCGACACATTTAGGATATTGGAGTGGCATGTCGTATGTATCACATACTTCGGTCTTAATCACCATTCATATCATTGACCAGAGCGCCACCTCCATATTCTTATGCGACTGGATACTGGCCGCTTCCAACCACCGCCAATGCACCCCCCGTTCCACTACCCCCCTACGAGTATCAGTGGCCACACTACGGAGCTATGCCGACAACGCCCTACGACTTGAAACACCCGCATCTGGAGCCGGTGCCCCCTTCACCAGAGCCATACATGGTTCCACCGTGTGACTACGGACCGTCAACACCGGTTGTTCCTGACTGGGGACACTCCGGAGACGACGCGCAGGCCGACTTCGGTTGGGACCCAAACTGTGGCGGCACCTGGCCAAGGTCTCCCCGACGTAGAACGACGAGGCTCTTAAGGAGGAAACCTTCCACCTGTCACTGTCCGCTTAGGGCGAAGTTCAGGAGACTTCGCAATCCGCTGCGAGCACGCCTCCAAGCACCGTCATACAGCCCTGGTCGCTGGTTCGCAGATGAGGCTGCATCCTTGGATTCGCTCAACCTCGCTCCTCGTCCAAATGATTGGCGAGCTGACTACACGCCACCCCATGTTCCGCGCAATATATCTTGGTGTCTCTCCCGTGGAATGCAAATGCCAGGTGAGCACAGTCCGCACTGCTTCGAGGAACTGTGAGGCTGATCCACGTCTGCAGCGAAATTCCCCGCGGAGGTTCCTTATGCCCTTAGTCCGCTCATCCAATACACTTCTCCGTCCACATATCCTTTGAGATACGACATCCGCGACAATCCGTCGGAGACCGACATTCAATTCCTCAATCTCCTGCGACCGTCGAATGACATCGACTTCTACCAGTTGGCGACATCCCCCGCCGTCAACGAGCTATGTTTATCTCACCCTCGACTGCCATGGTACATTCATGTGTGCGCGTCGCAGCCGAACGGCATCACTATTGGCGACGTCTTGACGCAGATTCATGAAAGCCTCTCGAAGCCCATCAACCAGCGGGATTTCTATAATGTAGATATGACCGCCTCGGACCGTGAGGAGATGTCCACAGCGTTCTATCATCGGCGCGGCGAGGATACAGGTAGAGGCATGCTGCGGATGGATTTCCTAGGGTCCAATGTGACGTTCTTGGGCCTGGCGAAGACGAAGCATGGGGTATGGGAGATTAAGACAAGTGACGCGATGCACTGATCTAATCTGAGATGCGAATATCCTCGTTCACCTATTGCTGCCCCCCCCCAGACCAATCTATTATATGCATATCATTATTCGTGTATCTTGAACGTTGGCAAATATTATGGAATAGGCCACGTTTGGTATACTGTGCAAACGCGACGGCGTCACTAAGTAAAGTTCAGATTGACATGGATAAACTCACAATGTAAAACGGCAAGCCCCCAATGCGTGAAACAACTCGTACACGACTGGAACCGCTTGACAGAACCCTAATATCACAAGTTCACGATACATGTACACATTCATCACTCGTCCTCGACGGGGAGACTTCCGGCAATGACTACAGCTAACTACCATTTCAGATACTAATTTCACAGCTTGGGCATCTGAACATACCAAACAAGGAACTACAGGGTCACGTCCTTTGCTCTCTCCAACTGCCATCTAGGGCATCGTCCACTAGAAAGTCATACCAAAATAGTGCGATAGGGGCCGTCGAGAGGTGCCAAAGGGCATGAGCGTCGATAATTCGTCCCCATGGTGGAAAGTCAAACAGCTCTAAAGCCGTAGCAGCAGTCGTCAGGGCCACGAAAATCGCCGCTTTGCCAACATAATCCGGTCGATACGCTTTTGGCCTGGAAGGGAACCTCCGGATGAGGGAGATGGGAAGAGAATACAGCAGCCACAGGGCGTTGTGCGTGAGGCCGATTACGAGATTGAATGCCATGTTGTACGTATAGTCGAACCGCGGAAGGAGAGACAAATACGAGACGTGAGCCAGATATGTAGTGATACAAAGCAAAGACCAGGATTTGTACGCCAGGTTCGTGGTTCGTGAAGCATCTGAAAGCGTGAGGCGAGAATAACGGGGATAGAGGTGGAAGAGCCTGACAACTGTGTAGTAAAGGGCATATAAGATCGACAATGCAGCAGAGAAGTAGTCCAGCTTTTCCGTCACGGGCAGGTCTATAGGGCATAGACATTAGGCGGGCCTCACATGAGTGCTTGAATTGAACTCGCCTCGTGTGTGGAATACAGACGACCAAATCCATGCATTGATGCTGGTCAACGACCAAGCGAAATAAAATGACCTCATAGGGTGTGTTTTCGGGACGTGTTTTCGTATCTTCAGCGCCCCTTGAGCATGACACCAAAGGTTGAGCAGCGAAAATGCCACAGATGCGGGTTCTTGCATGCCAGCGAGGCGCCAGAAAGGCCATTTCCCGTAGTATTGCTGGATGGGCTCATCCTTGTCGACATCGCGGTCCGTTATATCGTGCATGCAGGAGTACTTGCAGTCGTCGCTACATGTCCAGCGCGTGAGCTGCAGAGCCAGAGGCAAGACTGAAGATTGTGCTCCCGGCCGGCAGCGGTTTGTGGTACACTGGTCGACGCAGTTCGCGAATTGGTGGGATCTATCTCCAGACGACGCAAGTGCGGTCCCAATCAACGTGGCTAAGAGCAGGGAGTGCCCATTTGTGTACATCGGACGCGGAATGGGCGATGTGGAATTGTTGGTGGAGACGGAAGTGCGTGGGAAGAAATCTCCGCTGACAATGAACATTCAAGATTTCGAAAATCTCGCTAAGTCTCGTTCCACCTTCATACCGGTCGCAAATTCGAATTCCAAAAGCTGCTGGTAACGAATTACTTGTCGCTTTACTACAACGCGCCAACAATCTTCTGATATCTCTTTGGTGCGTCCTATCAACCGGATTTTCATGATAAGCACAAATAGTTAACGGCCCGAGTTAGCGTCGGTTAGCGTCCACATTGTGTGGCATCTTCGTGAACATAGTATAGCACGTCGCAGCCCTTTGAAATGGTTCGGACCTCGCAGGCCACTACGTTCTCTTCGTCACCATATTTCTTCGACCGAGGGGCGAATGGTACCGCTCAACCGATTACCGAGCATATAAACGTAAGCCAGCATACGCTGCGACGTTTAACTGTAGTTGAATGAACATTTCCAAGGCGCATTCTCGACCTATCGTATCATACTACTCACCCAAAGGCGTCGGAGGACATCACTATGGAGTATAAATAACTCTTACTTCTGGATGCACTATGTAGCTAAATCAGCGTCCGTTTCTAGGAGCGACATCCCATGAAACCTCACCGTTTAACTTTGACGAACGCGCTTGTGATGGGATACGGGCTCGACAAACAGATTCATCAAATCTATGATCCACGGCCAGCAACCCAAGCCGAGCTCGAACAATACCATGATCATGACTACATTGATTTCCTCTCCAGGTAAGCATACAACCCATCCTACATCTTGCAACGCACATAGACGCTTACCCTTCTAGAGTTACACCGGGGAATCAGACTCAAATGAGGCAGATGATTGACGTCTTCAACTGCGTTGAAGATTGCCCTATCTTTGCTGACATGTTTGACTTCTGCCGTATGTATGCTGGCGGGTCCCTTGCAGGCGCGCGAAAGTTATGTGCAGGTACCACTGACATTGCGATCAATTGGTCGGGCGGCTTGCACCACGCGAAACGTGGGGAGGCGAGCGGCTTTTGCTACGTCAACGACATCGTTCTCGCGATCCTTGAGCTCCTCAGGTTCGAAATAATTATTTGCTGATCAATTATTTCAGCGGTATTTAACACGGTTGAAT